GTGTTAGACTTTTAGACTTAAACATGGTCAATCTGCAGATCTGCGCATAAATATACACCTAAAATTCTTACGACAACACAATTGCTCATGTTGAATGATAAACAGTACATTTTTTAAGCATTAAAAACATTTGAACTCATATATACACATATATAAGTTAAAAACATATACATTATTTGTATTAGGGCCAAAAGAATGTAATGGAAATAGGATTTCGAATGAAATGACCTGGATCCAGTAACAAGTACATGTATAATTACATGTAGTAATATCATAGTCCTCTAACCACAACCTACAGAGCCCGTGAGATTTTTATATGTCTGATATATCAAAAAGTTTTCAGGCACACTCATTTCAATAAAGTTCCGCGTAAAACGGCATGATGATATTCTTGAAATTCAGACCTTTCCTTAATAACAGCTGTTATTCTATTCAAGAACTGACATTCTACTTTTAAAATTCAATTAAAGTGTAAAAGACAGAAGTAAAAGACATTTTTTTTTGTAAATTACAACTAACATCATCCTATTATGGTTATAAGGCAGACAATAATTTATAAGTCACCTGAAGTGTCCTTCTCTTGTTGTCCTCTGTGTGGATCCACGCTCGTAATGACAATTCACTGATGAATATTTCTGCTGCCTTGGCAAAAAGTACCGGGGCTTCTGCACTGATCATCTGTGGAGGCACAACATAAGGCATTTCAATGATTTCTGCAGTGTAAGGGAGATAACTCCCTCATTATTTATACCTAACATCCTAAAATTAAACGTCCTGTCCTTGTCAGTGGTCTTGAGTTATAATTACTGAAAATATTTTACGAATGTCTGTTCATCAGCTACACTCAGAGCTAAGGTTTAAAATGATAGACAGGTTGATATATAGGTAATGTGGGGAATTAGGATAACAAATAAGTGCCTCCCTGCCCATCTCCATATAAAATATATTCATTTATTATATAGAAAATCCTTTACAAACAAGTAGAATCATTTTATGATGCTCCGGTATGAGTTGACATCTTTGTTGATAAAATTTGTTTCAATAGTAAACAAAATATGTCTGTTGGGATATCCTCTAGAGCAGATATACATACAGTTAAAAAGTCTAACCTTTTAGTGACATGACTGAATAAAAAAAAAGGCAGACCTTATTGACAGACAGGTGGTTGGTATAAACAGGTGACCTGGTTTGGGTGCAGACTCACCTTAACATCCTCGTCCAGTTTCATTATCTTCTTAATTCTTGCGAGAGGAAGTTCTTGTTGCTTAAAGTCATCCTGTAAGGAAGTGGTAGCTATCATTTAGCTTGTTGGGATTATATCTGTTTCATATGCATGACAACTTGACAAGTTACTTGTTCATCTATCAGCCCGGTCTTATCTTAACAACTCTTGTCCACATAGCATATAGACAAAGACTTAAAAGTACAGATGATACCAGTAACTTTATTATCATGGTACAATGTCGCCATGCATGGCTCGATCATCCTATTTATTTCTTTTTGGTGTATTTTATTGACAAGATAGTTAAATGTTGAATTTTGCCTGTAAGTTGAACTGTATTCTAATAATTGCACTGGTGTATGAAACATTATTGAATACAATCAATATCTGATTATCAATAAGTATTTAGATAGAATGGTGGCTACGACTCTGTATTTAATCAGGAAGCTGTCGGGATCATTTTTCTATTTGGAAAAGAAGCCACTAAATCCTACTATGACCCATCTACGTTATCTTTGTAAAGTTAACACAAAGGATTATGTAAATCTGACCATTTTCAGATTGCGGATGTCCTGCATGGCTTTTGGCCAGAACTGTGTCAGCATCTGGGCGGCTTCTCCGCTGACCGCCACCGACCCTGCCCCAGGGGACTGACTAGCTGGGGACTGAAATGTAGGTTCAACAGACATCTCTCTGAAATATAAAGGATATATTTTTGAAATTTCACTAATTCTGAGTTTAAAAAATAAAAAAATCACGAATTAATATTCAATAAATACCAACAATGAAAGTAGAATTCTAGAATCATAAAAAAAGATTTAGTCTGGGTACAAAAAACATGTATCTGGATTTAGTCAAAAGACAATATCAAAGGAGCTATATAATACATAAATTATTTAATTAACTATTTCAAAGTTTCATTTATGGAAAAAGTGCATGTTTGCAAATGATTGTAGATGTGAATGTTAAATTTGATAGTATTAATATTGTAAACCAACTTAAATTTGCCTTATAACCTTGAAAAGTTTAGCAAATACCTTATGAAACATTGTTCAATCCAATTTTTGTCATCCTTAAATTAGATAGTAAACCTGAACTCTTAATTGGTTGCCTCATAATCATACAAATTCCTTGGAAAACAATTTATTCAATCTAATCTTTTGTCACAAGGACATGAAAAAGTGCTGATATGTGACACAGTGTTTATCTTGAAATTGTCTTAAGATTTGATTTCCTGGTTGTCAGTTGAAATAGGAACACTGAATTTACTGTCCCCGACATAAGGATATATTCTTTTCACTACTTCTGAAACTTGTTTCTAAATAAGTATAATGATGTTATATATTTGTGCTTTTAACTACCTGAATCTTTAAGGTACAAAGATGTTTGGGGCCACTTCCTCTGAAATGTTGGTAAATAAACCCAGAGTATATTCTTATCAAAGTAATTCCTACCTATTTGTTTTGAGCTAAACTTTTTGTTTTTGATGAAAAGATTTGCTTTATTTACGTACAATATGATCACTGTGGCAGTACATGAAAAATATAGTGTATGTTTTCAATATCAGTACAAAAATTAACTGAAGAAAATATTTGTATCTAAAAGGCTATAAGCCCTTCATTTTGATTCGATGATATTTAGAGGGTGTTCGTGTTGAAAAGTTGAAAATATTTAAATATTTATTGTACAATCAAAATATTTTGTAGTTTTAAACTTTGCTGTTTGTCCTAGCGCTTGTCAAGATCAACCTTAACCTAGCTAGATATGTAAACATTTTTTCATATCAAATCTTGTCGGAATGTTTGTCTCGTCATGCTGAAGGGTGTAATGATGTAATGGCGATCGCGACCGCCTCTAAACGCAGGTAATTAATGGCGTATCACTATAAACGTTCCTTCTTTTAAGACGAAACAATGTGATCTCAGCATCTCATTCTGCTGAATGACGACATGTGTTACACTATGTCTAGTTAGGCTTGTGTGATTTGTAAAATAGTTTTCATTCAGGGCCAACTGACGAATGAAACGATGTTCTTGAGACATCGGACCAATAAATTGGTCAGGAATCTACACCCAATCAACAGATCACTGCTGACCTACCCACCAATGAGAACAAAGAACAGCAGCGGATCACCTCAGTGCGGGAAAGTCCAATACGTCTGTCACAATCAAACGGATATGTTTATAAGCATATAGACTACAATCCTGCTAAGTATTGAACAGAAAAACAACTTACCAACCTTGTTGTTCGGAAAAAATGTCTTGAGGAAGTAAATATGGCGCTTATTCGTTCAATTGGTTTGACCTATTTATATTTTACGCTCTGCGCACACTCATAAAGTTACTTACTTCCGGTATTGGATTTCCGGACATTTATCTAACAACATCGGCTTAAAGATGCAGGTAAGATTTCTGTCTGAATACGATTATCATATGGTAGGATTAATTTGTACATACTTCTTAAGGACCCAGGTACAACCGTTGCTTTTTTTCAACACGGGGAAGAATAACTAATTTCTCGTCCAAAGACGAGACCTTATACAGAGAACGTCCTGTATCGATTCTTCAAACTATGAAATTAAACATTGTCTTCAAAAAAGGAAATCCAGAACTTTATTGTAGTTAATGTCTGATTGTAATTTGTATTTTGTAGAAAGAAGAGAAACAGCTGGAGCTTGCATTAGATGCACTTATACAGAGAGTGCAGGACTTGAAAAACTCTCTGGTTGCTTTTTTATCCAAGCTGGAAAATGAGTACCAAACAATGAGCTGGTACAAATATTATTTTTAGCTTTCAGTTACATGAACCACGGAATTAGATTGTTATCTAAGTCTTGACTTTTACTTGCTTGTAGCATTCCCCCTTTCACATAAAAAATGAAACGTAGAGTTATTTCCCTTGTCAGGGTATTCCCCTCTCAGGTGTTCAATGTTTGATTGTCCATTTGGCTTATTTGAAGCCCATAAGTTGGAGTCTTTAAGTTTAATGTACATTGTTGTGACTTGAAAAAAGTAATATTTTCAAACTTGATGATACCCTTTTTCTTTAAATCAAATATAAAATCTTAAAAAAATTGCTTTAGACATAATCTTTGCTTAACCTTTATAGTAACTTTAGATTAAGAATACGATAATAGGATAATATTTGAAGTCTTTAACAAATGACAATTTTAACATTTTAAAACATGTTGTAAAACATCATAAATTCTCACTGTTGGATGATGATGTTAATTTGCTGGTTTTCGTTGGTAGGCCTTCAGTACTAGATAACTTTGCCCTGTTGTCGGGACAGTTGAATTCCCTTGGAAAGCTTCTGAAGAGTGAAAAGGTGCCAATCCTTAGAAACCAGATCCTGCTGCCCCTGGCCCTGTCCCCAGACAGGGACCAAGAACTTGAGGTCAGTCCACAAGGGCATCAATGTGATAAACTACATTGTAACACTGTGATGCATGCTACAATGTTTTCTCACAATACATGACTTTATATCCAAGTTTTATTTGTCATCACCAAAAGTAATAGTTGACTGTTCTGAAGAGTTGCTCAAAGTCCTATATGGAGATGACGGACTGCTTTCCTTCCTGGTTGCATGATCATACTGGGGTATTAATGTTGACCCCATCCCCTTGAAGGATCTGACATTAAAAAAACGCTATTTGCTGCACGTATAAAACACACAGTTGTGATCTATATCTCTTCTGTTTGTACTCTTTTTGTATGTCTTCCCTGTCTATTTTAGGAACATTGTCTACTCATTGGTGATATATATGGCCTTACTATGTAGATTGTTCGTAAAACTATCTCATGTTATGGGACAGTATTTGTTAGAGCATACAAACTGCATATATATCTGTAGTTGTATCATCCCCACCCCAAAGTTATCATTCTCAGATGAAACAAACACCATTAAACTGTATTCAAACATGTCTTCAGAAACTAACAGAGAGGAGAGTGTTTGCATTCAACCATGAAGTTGTACCAGACTACTTGCGAACCAAGCCAGAACCTGACGTTGAGAAAAAGATCCAGGAGTCCAGTGTCAGAGCCACTATCAACA